TGAAAATCAACATTTTCTATCATATCTGTGAAAAATTTCCCAAACTAAGCATAAAAAATGAGCTGATCTAAGACTGTGTGAACTGTGATACGAGTGACGTAAGCCCGTCCGACTTAAAAGTGGCGCCTCCCCCTCTCCCCCCGTTCTCTGTGGCCAATTTAGTGAAGAGAACCCAAACTACCGCCACCAGGAAAGACCAAAGGAGCTATCAATGAGCAGAACGACCAAAGTTGGGTTAAAAGTCAATGCCCCAACCGAGGTATGATGGCAGGCATCTCGTATTTTTGGGATACTACCGAACTTGGTCTCGTCATGCGCGTCACCTGATTTATGGGAAGCCATTGGATACAAAGTTGATAATAAAATACAGAAGGTTTACTTTTTAAGGCCGTATCGGCCGCTCCAATACGAGCAATGGCCTTGGCGTCACCCGGATTTCACCCTGAGGCAATTACAAATAGTTTCGAAACGCCGCTCGTGCAGTTCATCCATCTGATAAAATGTCATACACAGTAGTCCTGTCCGACCTGCCAGTGACCGTCCCGAAGATGTATTAGTTCATGCATGACATTACAATATCAAAAAGGTTTCGGACTGTTCCCAGTTTATCACGGGCTGACACTGGAAAAATTCGCATTAGGATATTACTAGAATCGACCCAAACGTAGCACGACTCAGATTGATTGCCGTCCAGGGCTATAATTTTGCTCTGTCAAACAGTTGCAGTTTCCAAAATTCGCAAGACTTACCAGTCGTACATAGGCACAAAGGCAAGACCTCTGGCGTTATATTGCCACATACCGCGACCAACTTCATCCTTCCACTGCATCGCATATTCCGACAACAGCCCGCGGTGCGGTAGAGTAAAAACAGCATCGACCCGTCATGATTGGTAACTGAAGAAGGCCTGGACACCGCGGGAGCCGCCAGCAGGTCTCCGTGTGACCGGCTTGCACGTGTCCATCCGTGTCGCTCTGATTGGCTCCCTGATGGGCTCATCAGACGAGGAAGCTGACCGCGGTCTGGTCGGGAGGGGTATATGGGGCGGGATCTCTGCCAGCCGCCGAGGCGTCGCCCCGTCCTATACGCCAGTGACGTCATCGAGCCGCCAGTGACGTCACTACCAGCTGAGGCCGTCCATCTCCGTCCGAGCGGCTGTACCGCCGCCCATGGGTCGCCGTCGACGCGGCCCCCGACCCCGGCCGCGTCGGTCGTCGGCGCGCCAATGTCAAGTTCAGCGCCGCGGCCGTCTTGTATCGATTGCCGAGGCCGGCTGGGCGACTGGGCCGGGTGGGACGGACGGCCCGGGCCGGTCACCGCCCGAGGCCACTGGCCGGGTCTGAGGCTCAGCTGGGGTCATCAGCATGCAGCCGACGCACACAGGGCCGATCGCCAGGTCTAGCACGACATGGGCAAAAAAATCGAACATTGTGGATGTGCAATGAAACCTATACCAATTTGTTCAGAAATGATCATACTACACTGCTGTGGTCTTTGTTTTCCAAAACAATTGCTATTTCATGGCGAAAATTCAGCTTAAACACGAACTTCGGAATCGTTTGGACCGAACTCGTCCCCCGCACTCTTCGACAACGTATCTTTGATCCGCGAAAACAATCACAATTTGAGGAGGAGTTCCACATTTATATACATCAAACGATAGCTCCGGGTCTGCAGAACACACATAACCACATCAAAATGGCGAACTCTTACTTGGTTATGATGTATTGGCACCGCAAAGATTTAAAGACGAAAATATAATTTCACATAATTGATGTCACACACAAATAGACTTTTAAAAAAAGTACCGCAGAGTACCGCTTCGAAAATCTCGCTACATGTCAATGATTCATTGCACTACAAGATCCAACAGTCATTTTCTGCGACTTTTTGCGACTTTGGATGTAGCAGCCAAACATCAACCCGCGCCGGACCGGTGCTCGGCGTCAAACGCGCCGGGCCGGGAGGTGTTGATTGAACACTCCCCTTCTAACTCGGCTCTTGGGCCACATAGCGATACGTAGTAAGTGGCATTCGAAAGAGCGCCCGAAATTCCAGATGGAGTAATTAGTCATTTCTAGGTCAGGTCAAAGGTCACGTCACCAGAGGTCATCAAAGGTAAAATGTTGCATTTTTCAACACTTATCGAAAACCGGCTCTTACCTCGGGGACCAATAGAGCTACATCGTCGCGGAAAAGTGCATTCAATTGCTCTTTTAGCGGTCTTTCTGAAATAAGCCCTCAGATTTGGCTTGACCCTCGCTCCTAGTGGTGTTTTTCCAGCCGCGAACGTATAGAAGGGGTCCGCCGTTTCGTCCTTCGACCCCCGCCGTTTCGCCCCTGATCGAGCTAGAGCTTCGCAGAAAAGACGAGCGTGTTGCCCGTGACAAGAGGAAGCTGATGATACCCAATTGTAAGGTCCTAGGTCATCGGTTGACCTTCCAGGTCAGGTCAATGACCCAAAAGTCGGGAAAATCGGGACCTGTTAGAACGTCGTAAAGGGTGGCTGCTATGGGTTTTTTGGGTGCTGATCACGAATATAATATTATTTACGAGCATAGATGATGTCTTTAAGCATTTAGACCAGGTCGGGTCAGGTCAGGTCAGGTCAACCGGTAGGGGCTGTGACGGGTATTCGTAATACGTGTCAACCGCCTCTGACAGCTTTGTAACATGTTACGAATGCACCAAAACTACTTCGTAAATGTTCAAATGGTTGCTAGATTCGAATTCAGCTAAAAAACTAGCCTAGAAACATGTAAAACTCGAAAAAGTGAACCAAGGTCATCAAAGGTCAATGACCTTACCTGACCTTCTGGTGACCTTGACACCCACCCTAATGCATGGGAGCAACATAATATCCCATGTTTGAACGCTTTAAACCAAGAAAAGACTGCAAACCCGCGGCTAATGCGAGCCCACATACGCTGAATCGCGATTCCGGCCAAACATGGTCTCGAAAGAAGGTCACAGGTCAAAGATCATTAAGGTCAGGGTCATGAAATTTTCAAGTTAGCTGTAAAAGTAGTCGTCGCGAGGATACTGTAAGTTTCGTTGCGATCGGCCGCTTTTTACGCGAATTACTCGCGAAAAACCAAGGGTTCCGTTCGAAGATTCAGGCCCTGTCGCGCTAGAATGGCATATCGGCCCACTGTGCGACGGCGGTGGGTTCTCTTAACGCTAGCCATGCAAAGTGGATGAGAGGCTGGACAGTAGTTAGGACACTTCGAAATGATAGCTACGGATACAAATGGGTAGGTAACTTGCGAGCTATGAAAGTTCATCCTGGCCTCTGATGCACTAACTTCTCCCGGTTCCTACACACGGGGACCCACATCCTTGATCGATGCCAATAAGAGTTCATTTACTTCTCCGGACTCACGACATCAATACTGCCCCGGATCCTTCTCAGAAGCCGGGACTACCTGGGCGTATTCACCTGCCAATTTGCACGAGCGCTCCTCAACCTGGCCGCACTGAATACAATTCTTTCCAGGCACCAATTGCTACGCTCCACGTGTCGCCAGCGGCTCTCTGGAGCGACACCACTGAGAGAGGTCCGTCGGAGAATCTCCCCAGGCGGTCCGTCCCTGGAGGTCTCTTCGCTGAACGGCCGCATGGCACTAGGGCGCAAATTGCATTAGTTGAGCCGGCGTCAGATCGGGAATACTGATGAGCGGTGGACGTGATGGCATCGTGATGGTGCTGGTAGTGACGGCAGCGGCACCAGTGATGAGGACGAGCTGATGGATTTATCGGACAGACAGGTGGACGTGGAGACACGTGGAGGCCGGGGGCGGGCAGGCATGATGATGTAGAATAATGCAAAAATCCACATGCGGAGTCTGACAATGCGGCAATAACACATAAAACTATCAAGCTTGATGGAAAGGTCCCGCACTGCGTATGCTCTGACGCAGCAACACCTACGCCAAGAACAGCGGCCTGATGGGCTTCCCTGTTCACAGCTAATGTGCCATTTCTGCTCGCATACCTAGCGCCCATTCTGTTGGCCGTCGCCACTGCCAGGAGTCGCACCTGCTCTGACTCGTGACCTCAGTGAATCCTAGCTGAGCTCGGGGTCAGGCGGCACACCACGCCCCCGCCACGCCCCACCACTCCCGTGCCGCCGGCCATCGCCCCTGCAGCGCACTGCACGGCCTTGGTGACGTCAAAGCCCCGAACAGACGACTCGGTACCCCGTGCCGCCCTATATCGAACTAAGCTGTGCTGAAGAGTGACAGGCCGACATTCGTCCCAGCGACCTCTCTGCAGCCCTGACCATCACTGATGCACTGCACTCCCCTCTCCCAGATCCCGTCGCCCCATCCTGGCGCTGCCCGCCGCCAGACGCCAGCAGGAAATACCCCAGATATAAAAGGCCCGGCGCTCGTCCGGTGGGCTGAGTCATCTTCCAATCCCGCAGGACAATATGCTGGTACCCACAAAAAGTGATCGGTTTTCTCGGGCCGCCGGCGGTGTCGAAACAATGGCTCGCCCTGATTGTACGCCGCATCGGCTCGGCACCTCGGCAGGACACCTCGTCTGCTACAGGAACCCATGCATAAATACATGCGGCAGCCTGTTGTCATCGACATGGCTACAGTTATCCGGCCACGGCGCGCATGTTTTCCCGCTGTCTATGTGGTCACATAAACAGCAGTTCGGTTCGCTGTGCGGTTCGTTGCACACCGGCTGGCGAAGCTGCCCCGGCGGTACGCGACAGGAGGTGCAACAATGACGCATCCACCGCGGGGTCGTGCACATTGTTCTCGCATGCGTAATCCGACGGGGCCGTGACCGAATTACGTAGCGCGCGCACCGTGAATTTGTCGGGCAACACTCGTGTAGGGTACGACCATGAATCATCAAACGAACGTAGCATGAAGTGGACACGACCTTCGGAGACACCACGATCACACAGTGGCAGCATTCGCATTTCTTTGCCAAGGGCTAAGAGGATGGGATCGACGGCGCATGCTAGGGAGTCAGGTACTCACATTTCGGCCGGTTCAAGTCGTCTCCATCCTCACTGCCTCCCAGATCCGGCGGTGACGGCGTGCCAGAGCCCTGCATCTCAGAGAGTGAGGCTGCAACACACAGACAGACAACAGACCGGTTAGCCGAGACGCGTCAACAGGCACACTCGCTCCACGCCCACACTCCCAAAGTACACAGAAACACACAAACGCTACTAGAAGCGGCACTGTGGCGTCCAGCCGTCGGGGCAGTCAAGTGGCAACAACGACAACAGCGCAGAAGTGGGCGCTCCTAAAGTGGCGGCACGCTCGGAGGGAGGGTTTATAGTCGGGCGGGTCGTCACCGGGTCGTTACAGGGGCCCCGCTAATGGGCAGAGGTCACGACCTCGGCGGCTGGCCGCTCCGATCGAATGACGCTGTTTGCAGGCCCGCCCACCAGACTAGAAGAAACCAGCGGAGTAGCGGTGCTGTTTGAACAGAAACGCGTTATGGTGTTTGCTGAAGTTAATGCAAACCATTACTGGGAACGCTGTGATAATTATAACCGTTGATCGGGTTAAGCCTCACTGTAATAAGTCACGTCAGAAAAAATCCGCTTAGTGGCCGTCGTCGGTCTCTGGACACCTTATCTCGTGCTCAGCGGCCTGGCCCAGGTCAGTCAGTCCCACCTTCCAGCAATACTGACCACTCAGCGGTCATCCAGCACACTCCCAGCACACTCAGCGGCAGGCGACGACGCCTTGTTGAACGTTGCAGCTGTGGCCATCAGCAGGCGCCAGACCGCCGCAAATCCGCCACCAAGGCCGCGGTCAGTCTCGTACGGCAGTGGTGGCGCCGCAGCGACCCAGTGAGGGGTGCCGGGGGCCGCCGAGGGGAGGGGGACGACAGACCGTCCATCACCCGTCCAGGCCGGGCCGACCTGGGCGTGGCACGGCACGAGCCGACTCGGCTGCCCGGAGCTGCCATCAATCGAATCACGACACGACTCGCAGTACAGGTCACGATAACAGCGCGGCGCTAATCCGATCACAAATCACGAACTCGGCCGCTCGTTGGCGTAGCTAAACACTGCTTCAGGGAACGGCGGCACCGGCTCAGTTGGCCGGAGCCGGCGTTCATGAGCCGATCAGGCCTCTGTCACCGGATAGACCGGATGTAAACAGAGCCGTCCACCGGGTACCTGTGGAGTCGAGACCCTGCCCCGCTCGGAGCGACTGACTCTCCCAGCGTCGACCAGCTGTGGTTTGGGGGACGGCACCTGTTCCCCGCAGACATTAGACTAGAGGGTCTGGGGACGGGTCCGCGAGGCGCCTGGAAACAGTCTGATAAACATCTGTGGGGATCTCGGCCTGGCACTTAGCCTGGCATCTCACCCCTCAAATGGATTTTGATGAAAATATTCAGCACTGGGAATCAAGTCTACAGCCTGTACAGTGAGCATCAAACGCGCAGAAACGGAGCGCTGACGGCTGTGGCTGTGGCTCTTATCACCATCCGCGCAGTGCCCGCGCCGTCCGTCCGTCCGGTCCCTGGGTCCGTCGCACCACATCCGGGACACTCATCAGCACGTCCGCAGCTCCGGCCCGTCACGGACCTCCGCTGCGTGCTTCCCGTCTGAGCGTGCAACCCGGCAGACCCTATGACCTTGGCGCCAGTCGCCATGCGTGAGGACAGAGACTTCCCATTAGTGGAGTGGACCGGAGTCTGGTCCGTCTGACTGGCTTCTGTATATCCATTACCCCCACCAGATCACCGCTCGTCCTGCCCCTAGCCCTGTCACGCCCCACCGATCACTCGCCAGTCTGGCTTGTCTCCGGGTAGACTGACCTCCCCACCACCCCGACAAAGAGTTGGTCCGGGCCTGCACGGAAGCCAGTGCAGGACCATGTCGTCCGGAGGCAGCGCCACTTCCAGTGTTCACCGGACAACAAAGCACCGCCGGAAGCTGCCAGCGCGCACACGCCATGCGCTCGTGACTCGCTCGACTCGGGCGTGATTCCGAGTGACTCGCACGGGACTCGTTGCGGCCCGCGTGAGCCACTCGTGCTACGCGAGGCGGATCCAGAGACCTTCACGGCCTGTGGCCATGGCGGTGGCTTGGTGCGACGCGTGACCAATAGCGGACGGCTTAATAAGCGGAGCTGCGACACACTTTTGCGGTCCCAAGACTGTGGTTCTGTGGTTCTGCTCGTGACCTTGATGGTTGTATTGGTGGTTGGAAATCGTCAGCGTCCTGCAGCTCCCATCAGTCGAGGCAGCAAGATCGGAGGACAATGACATTACCCGCACGGGTGACCAGTGACCACGCTGGTAGTGTGCCAGAATGGGGTTATTATCATCACACGTTGCGAAGCCAATAACGCGCTTCCGGCCGCCAACTAGCGCGGCGCATCACGGACAATGGGCTGCCCAACCGGCCCGAGCCACCCACCCCCGTCTGACCACAGAGCGACAGTGACACAAACCAGACTCAAAACGGCTGCTTTCTCTGCAATACTCCTTCCGGTCATCACTTTGATGTCAAGCTAATGTGACACCGCCGAACAATGGCCAAAGAACACGGCCGGACTAGGGCAGAAATAGCAGTCGCATGTGCTCGGACATTTCAAGGAGGCTTATCGCGCACGGTCGCACCTTGGCGCGCATTCCGCCGCACAAAAACTCATGGATCATCTGCCAGGTACAGAGCGGCACCCATGTAGCAGATGTGAGACCTGTTTGGTGGGCAGAGCTCACTAATTGGCCATGGTCATCTCAAGGATTAGACAGAAACCCAGCGGGCAGTGTAGTCAGCAAGAGATGCGGACAGGATTAGGTCCAGCTAGTGATGGATGAGGCACGCTAACCTCAAACATGGACAGATAATGGAAGCATGGAAGTAAGTGCATAATTAGGGTGTACAGGTGGTGAAGATGCATAGAAACAAGCTTTTACAAACGCATTTCTCACACAATATCTTTTATTTGCCATTTTATGCTTCACTCGAAAGGCAGAATATGGGTTGTAGGACAACGACATGTGAAACCCCACACTAGTACGCAGAGTTAAATAGGCATGCTCAATACGAGTCAGACGGAACACCAGAGATCCACGCAGAGCGGCGTTCCGGAACTAGGACGCCGCGGCGCAAGACCCCGACTCCAGAGACCCACTCCGCCGGGCTCGGTCGGTGATTCAGCGCCGGTTCGCCCGCCCCCGGCAGTGGACGACGCCACCTTTCTCTCTTTCACAACGTTGGTCCGGCGGCTGCGCGGCGGCGCGGCGGGTGTCTGGCAGGCGTCACGTCCTCATATCCCACCAGGCACGTCCAGCGCGGAGGTAAGGGGTTGCCAGTTGCCACCGCCCGCACGCCCCACGGCGTCGTGTCTCGGCGTCACCTGCCCGTCATGTGGAACGCCTCGAACGTTTCAGGAGCTTTACTGCCGAGGTGTCAGGGTTTAACCCTCGCCCGCACATGGGGGGGTGGTTGCCACCCCCCCAGGCAGTCTTTCTGCTCTGCACTCAACATTTTTAGAGCTAGAAGGCTGATTTTTCGTATAGCTGCTCGTCTATCCTTTCTTGATGTTCACTGAAAATTTCAAGTTTCTGTGATTTTTGGTTTCGGAGATATGACCTTGTTTTTCAGGTCATGTCATGACCCAAATGGCACATTCTCAACATCTTGCGTTTGCCATGGGCCTTGTGAGCTTTTGACACCCTGATTTCGGCCTTTTTGGCCAGTCTTACCTTCCACCTATCATGGAACATGTTGTTCGACGATGTACAGGGGTCAAGGTCAGGGTCAAGGTCAACCTAGGTCATCTAAGATAATTGCGTTTTAGGCAAGCTGAATTTACTTTTTGTGAAGTTTTTTGACTGCATTTTTGGTAAAAGCTTCTCAGATCATGATTTCATGTGATATGGACCCAAAAACAATCGGTGCACACATCAGTATACACACAGACACACACAGACATACAAACGCATATAATTGACCTTGACCTAACTTGACCTGAAATGACCTCAGCAGCAAAATTCTGGTCGGATAGTGTGACAAAGAGGTTCTAGCTGGCTTGGCACCAGAAAACAGCATCGTCATCGGTATTTGATAAGCAGCGCACTGGATATCCAACGGTGACCCAAAACAGCAACATTTTTTAGTTTGACCTGACCTGGAAGGTCAATGACTGACCTGAGAAGGTAAAACTGGGTATCATTGGATTCGTCTCTTCCCAAAGAATCTTTTTGGTCTTTACTGCTAAGCTCTATCTCCAACAGGAACGAAATGGCGCGGGGGGGTGGCAACCACCCCCCCCCCCATGTGCGTTCTAGGATGGGAAAATGGCATGTGCGGGCGAGGGTTAACAGCGGACATGGAAATACGGTATTCAACGTGGTAGTTCCATTTGGAGGACATCGCTCGACTCGCAAGTTTAGTGTCAAAAGTAGCTCTACCTATATTTCATACTCATCCAGTCATGCGTCAAATCCACTAACGCCCCCGAACATTCCGGGCACACACCAGGAAGCCACTTTGGCGCCGTGCATATCGAGCCGATGCAGACGTGCGCCGCCGGTCCGCCGGAGGCAGCATCGGCGGGTCGTCGACCCCATTGCACCTGGCAGCCCGTCGGCGGGCCGGTGGCGGCTGTATCATCTGGCGGCGGCGGCGGCGGCGGCGGCGGCACGTCTCTCTCCCTCCCCTGCGCCGACCGCTGAGGCCGGGCAGGTGCCGGCCGAGATAGGGCCAGTCACGCCGAGCCGGGGCCGCCGGACGGGGCGGCGCCCACCGGAGGCCACCCGCCGCGCCACGGCGGACACGCCCTGCTCTCGATCGGGTGTGCCCTGACCTCGGCTCAGGAGTCTCCTGCAGACGTCACCAAGCCCGTGCTGATCTCCCCGAGTGGAGAGGGTCTGTGGGGCCTCACCAGCACGCCGAACACGATGTCACGCTTTTGCGCGACTACCTTCTCTGTCCACCAAGCTATTTATTGGCCTTCACCTGGCAGTCTTGGCGGCTCCTTTGCTGGACGGGCGGCCAGTGTCCCAAAATCTGCCAGTTTGGGTGGGAAGGGGCATCCAAATCAAAATAATTTTCCGCTCCCACATCCAATTTTCCACAACAATTTTC